TGACATTTTTCTTCTTTTAAATCATGTCTTTGGAATCATTGCACAGAGAGGGGCTGACTGGGTCAAAAGGTTGGCCATTGTATAGTTCCTGTTCTGTATCCCAGACTATAACTGAGAATATTACCAACAAAGCAAAGGACTCTGCCCTTACAGACATAGTATGCTAGGTTCCTGTATCTGTCTAGAATGCGATGTGGAGTAATACATATTGACACCTACTGTGTCAGGTCCATGCTAGGAGGAAACCTGGAGTGAGTGAAAGGCAGGCCCTGCCCTTGTGCAACACAGAAGCTGTGGCCTTCAGCCCTTTTCTCCCTCTAGGATGCAAAATATTCCAGACTGCTACACATGTGACATTTTCTGATGCCACCAGTATACTCCCTTTTCTTTCTTCTGCTCCTCCTCCTTTCCTCCTCTTCTTCCTCCTCCTTTTCCTTTTCCTTCTCCTCCTCTTCCTCCCCTTCCTCTTCCTCTTCCTCCTCCTCTTCCTCTTTCTTCTTCATTTGGTAGTGGTCATTAAACACAAGTCCACTTACATACAAACCATGGTTCTATCAAGCCAGGCATTGTGACTCATGCTTATAATCCCAGAAATTAGGAAGCAGAGTCAGGAGGACTGCTGCAAGTTCAGGGTCAGCCTGGAATACACATAGAGACCCTGTCTCAAAAACCAAAACCAAGGGCTGGAGAGATGGCTCATCAGTTAAGAACACTGGCTGTTCTTGCAGAAGGCTGGGCTTGAATCCCAGCACCCACATAGCAGCTAACAACTGTCTGTAACTGCAGTTCCAGGGGATCCAATGATCTCTTCTGTCCTCAGGCACTGCACAACATGGGTGCAGTTACATACATGCAAGCAATACCCATAAAATAATAAATAAAACATTTTAATAAACCAAAACCAAAGGGTAACAAGATGGCTCAGTAGGTAAAGGTATTTATTACCCACTTGACCACCTGAGTTTGAACTCCAAAACCCATATGGTAGGAGAGAATTAACCTCCACAAGTTGTCCCCTGACCTCCACATACAGGTTGTGACATATCTGTGATTACACATACACCCACAAACACACCCCCACAAATAAATTTTTAAAAATCATTGGTCTTTGAATTGCTGACTTGAATTACATAAAAAAATTGCAAATAATTTTAGCTTGGGATCAAGAAAGAATATCCAATAATCTGGTGTCCCTAGATATGTTCTGCTTCATGTGTACTTGTGGGTACAGGTGTGTACACATGGGTACAGAGGTCAGTAGACAACTTTGGGATCTTCCACCTTTTGTTCAAAACAGAGCCTTTTGTTGGTCCAGAACTTCAGTTGGGAGTATAGACTTGCTGACCAGTACACAGCTGGCTTTAAAATTTTTTTAAAATTTATTTTTAGTGTATGAATGTTTTGCCTACATGTATATAAGTGCACTATGTGTGTGTAGTGCTAGTGGAAGAGGGTGTTGGATCCCCTTGACCTGGAGTTACAGACAGTTGTTAGCTGCCATGTGGGTGCTGGGATTCCAGCCTGGGTCCTCTGTGAGAAAAACCAGTGCTCTTAACCGCTGAACCATCTCTCCAGCCCCTATAACAATTTGATTTATATTTTATCAGTAAATGCTTGATGTGTATATGTATTTTACATATCTATATACCTGGGGTCAAGTAAAAAATGTCTTGGGCGAAAAGGAATTGAAAACGGGAAAAATAAAAGAAGCTTTGGTCTAGATAATGTAAGTGTACTTGATTTCTAAAAACAAGCAAATCGTTCCCAAACAGGTATTTTGTGTTGTGCATGGGATGATCCTTTGTGGTGTAAGTCTGTATCCCTGACTCCTCTGAACATAGGCAGGGATGATCAGGACACACAGAGCTGTGCATTTAACAAATCAATTGAACATGTGTTCAGCTTCCAATGTGAATGGGTGCCAGGAAATTTGTGGTGCCCAGAGGGAGTAAGTGGTCTAAGGATGGCTAATATATTACATAATCAAGTGATCACTCTAGGCCCCAGAACACAGCAGTGAGCAGTTTGCCACATGAGAAAAACTTCTTGTGGTCTTGAAACTAATGCTTAGAGATGGGGTGGAACAAATAAGCAAACTATAGATCAGATTGTGACAGAAAGAAGACAATTAAGGTGAGGAAAGTAGCAGGGCATTCTAGAGGGTGTTTAAATCCCTCAGACACAACCTCATTGAGAAGATGGTATTTGAACAAAAAGCCTTGGGTCGCCTGGGAGAAGATCTGGTGGCAAGAGATGGGGTTTGGTCTGCGTGGAGAATGTGTTCCTGAGGAAGGTCTAAGCAGAAGCTGTTAGGAAGCCTGGAATCCATGAGTTTCCACTCATCTTTCTAGACATTTGCCCACCCCAGACAAAAGAACTGAACAACAGGGAGGACCAGAGCCCACCTCCCACTCCAGTCTGGAGGAAAGAATTCCAGGAAAGTTATGAAGCCTAACTGTGAGCTCCCTGTTATGATCTCATTTGCATTAGAAAAGTTCCAGGATGGCCCAAGGAGTCTGGGAAGTGGTTCAATAGCTTTGGGGATGTCGTCTAATCTTTGGCAGACTCAATTACTTCATCTCTAAAATCAGACTGACCTAACAGCTTATTTAACATGAGATAACTTGAAAGCACCTTTAAACCCCTCTATGATTTCCAAAACGCAAAAGCGAAAATAGAGCTGACCCGCGAGTTGACTTTGCTCAGACCTTTTCAACTTTTTGCAAAGCACACAGCGTGGGTTTGTGCTGTCCGTGGCCCATAGGGACCTGGTTCCTATCTCTCCTACCTCGTGCCGCTGGGCTGGGAGAGGTGGGGCGGCGGTGGGTGGGGCGGGGGGGAGGGGGTGCGGGGCTGAGAGGCCCGGAGGCGCGGGTCGGGCGGGG